TGCTTTCAGTCAAGATCCATCTGACATCAGCAATGATATCCCTTGTTCTATGACCTCATCTGAATCTGGCTTGAACTTCTGGCAGTTCTCTGTCAATGTACATTTGCAGCTGTTTTTGGATTATTTTTAGCAAAATTTTACTTGTATAAGATATTAACGAGATTGCCCAATGACTCCCACAGTCTGTTGGGTCACCTCTCCTTGGAATGGGCACAAATATGGATCTCTTCCAGTCAGTTGACCGGGTAGTTTTCTTCCAGATGTCATGGCATAGATGAGTGAGTGCCTTCAGTGCTTCATCAATTTGTTGAAAGATATCAATTTGTAATTCATCAATTCTCAGTGCCTTGTTCTTTGCCAATGCCTTCAATGTATTTTGGACTTTTTCATTCAGTATCATTGGTTCTTGATCATATGGCTGTACATTGACCATTTCTTTTTTGTGCAATAATTCTGTGTATTCCTTCCATCTTCTTTTGATGCTTTCTGCAACATTCAATGTTTTGCCCATAGAATCCTTCAATATTGCAAGTTGATGCTTGAATTTTATCTTAGATTCCCTCAGCTTGAGAAATTCTGAGTGTGTTCATACCTTTTGGTTTTCCAACTCCAGGTCTTTGCACATTTAATTATAATATTTGACTGTGTCTTCTTGAGCTGCTCTTTGATATTTTGTATTTATCTCTTTTGCCTCCTATTTCTTCCATTTGCTTTAGCATCTCTACACTGGAGAGCAAGTTTCAGAGTCTCTTCTGACATCCATTTTGCTCTTTTCCTTCATTCTTGTCTTCTTAATGGCCTTTTGCTTTTATCCTGTATGATGTTCTTGATGTCATCCCACAACTCTTCTGGTCTTCAGGCTTTAGTGTCTAATGCATCAAATCTCTTCTTCAGATGATCTCTAAATCCAGGTGGGATATGTTCAAGAGCATATTTTGGTCCTTGTGGATTTGTTTTAATTTTCTTCAGTTTCAACCTGAACTTGCATATTAGCAACTGATGGTCTGTTCCACAGTCTGCACTGACCTTGTTTTGGCTGATGATCTAGAGCTTTTCCACCATATCTCTCCACAGATGTAGTCAATTTGACTTCTGTGTATTCCATATGGTGAGACCCGCATGTGTAGTTGTCTTTTCTGTTGTTTAAAAAATAGTATTTGCAATGAGAAAGTCATTAGTCTTCCAAAAGTCTGTCATGTGATCTCCAGCATTGTTTGTATCACCAAGGCCGTATTTTCTAACTACTGATCCTTCCTCTTTGTTTCCAACATTTGCATTCCAATCATCAATAATTATCAATACAACTTGATTGCATGTTTGATCAATTTCAGACTGAAGAAGTTGAAAGAATTATTCAATTTCATCATTGACTTTAGTCTTTGGTGTGTAAATTTGAATAATAGTGGTATTAATAGATCTGCCTTGTTGTTGTTGTTATGTGCCATGGAGTCGGTTCCAACTCATAACGACCCTGTACAGGGTTTCCGAGGCTGTTAATCTTTACGGGAGTAGAAAACCTCATCTTTCTCCTGGGGAACAGCTGGTAGTTTCAAACTGCTGACCTTAAGATTCGCAGCCCGATTCATAACCACTACGCTGTCTTCCTTGTTGTTGTTGTTAAGGGCTGTCGAGTCAGTTCCGACCCATAGTG